ATCATTTGAACATTCGCAGTCTTGGGATACTTTATTACCTGCCATTATGTTTGCATATAGAGAAATTCCTCATAGCTCAACAGGTTTTTCGCCATTTGAACTTGTATATGGGGCAAATCCTCGAGGACCATTGCAGCTATATAATAAGCTTATCACAGGAAAAACAGGAACGGATACAGAAAAATCAGCTTATGAATCGGTAACAGATCTGAGAAATAAAATAATGATTGCTTGTCAACAAGCAAACGAAACAATGAAAGAAGCCAGTCTAAAACAGCGACAGTATGCGAACAGAATAGCAAAACTTGTGAAATATAACCCTGGTGATGAAGTGTTATTACTGTTACCAAAGAAGTCAGACAAGGTATGTATAGAATGGTCAGGTCCTTTTGTTGTTACAAGAAAGATTTCTGATGTTGATTATGAAATCAAAATTGATGAAAAGCTCAAAATTTTTCATGTAAACATGCTTAAACCATATTTTAGAAGATCACTATTAATGTCAGATGATGATGTACTTGATGCGAATTTATGTAATGTAATTAATGAAGAGTTACCTGATGTTATAGAAGAAGATATTCCAACACCATCAACAAAGAATGAAGTCAACTGGAAAACGATAAAGTTAAATGAAGAACTATCAGAAAATGAAAAAGCAAAATTGTGGAGCATCATTTTTCATTACAAAGATATTTTCACAAATAAACCTGGGAAAACTAACATAATCAATTACGATATCCAGTTGAATTCATCAGTGCCAGTGAAATCTAAACCATATGTAATACCTATCCATTATATCGATAAAGTTATATCAGAATTGCAACAACTACAACAAGAAGGAATCATTGAAGATTCCACATCAAACTACAGTTCGCCTTTAGTCGTAGTAAAGAAAAAAGATGGTTCACTACGTTTGTGTGTTGATTATAGGAAACTAAACCAAATTACCTAATTAGAAACTGAGCCCATCCCTTCGTCAGATGAAATCATACAAGAATTATACAACTCAAAATTTTTTACTAAAATTGACCTTTCAAAAGGTTACTGGCAAATACCACTAACACCAGAAGCTGTAAAATATACTAGCTTTCAAACTCCAATTGGACTCAAACAATGGTTGCGTTTACCATTTGGTTTAATAAACGCTCCGAAAATTTTCACAAAAATGGTTAGGAAACTGTTATATGCAATTCCTCACGTCACAGCATACATGGATGACATCTGTATACACACCAAAACATTGCACGACCACTGCACTACCCTACAAAAAGTCCTATCAAGAATAAATGACGCGAAATTGACAGTGAATCCTTTAAAAACTGAAATTGCATACACCAAAATTGATTACTTAGGACATGTTATATGCGAAGGTTTAGTTCAGACAGATGAAAACATTGTTTCGAAAATTTTGAAGATCCAAAAACCTAAAACTAAAAAGCAGCTCCAATCTCTACTAGGGTTAATAAACTATTATGGTAAATTCATCCCAAATTTAGCAGCACTAACATCACCACTATCAGAGTTATTAAAGAATCAACAATTGAAAAAATCAGATTGGAATGAAACACATGAGGAAATTCTAATTAAAATAAAAAACTGTTTTTAAAAATATCCCATTTTGAGACAACCTGACCCTTCCAAAAGATTTTTTTTACAATCAGATGCCAGCGGTCACACAATAGCTAGTATGCTTGCGCAGAAACATTCACAAACATTACTCCCAGTGATGTATATGTCACAGAAACTCAACCAAACTCAACAAAAATACAATACATTTGAACGAGAAGCGTTGGCACTAGTCATTAGTCTAAAAAAGTTTCAAAAGTTTCTTTTGGGAAAAGAATTCACTATTTTGACAGATAACTTGGGGTTGACAAAATTAGTAACAATTGATGCAAATAGCAATCCAAGGGTATATAGATGGGTATTGTTGATATCACAATTCAAATTTAACATTGAACACATCAAAGGAACAGACAATCATTTACCAGATATCATGTCACGTTTGTAGAATATATTGCAACTGCTATTACAACTTGTATTAACTGAAATCATTTTATGCAAGGGTATGCATTGTATTATTGAATGAATGTATTATATGAAATTACAACTTGGAAAAATGTATATGTTTTGATTTGAACGGGTATAATATAGTAAACAAATTAGAATTAAAGGGAGACAACATTCAGGGTTAAAATACACCTCACCAGAAAATATGTTACAGTTACTACTAGACTAAATTGAATTGGTGTAGCATTTAATTTGAATATGTGTGTTAATGAGACATGTTGTAGTTTCTGAAGACAAGGTAATTAACTACATCTTGTACCTTACATATTTGGGAACAAAACCATACATTGCTGATTTAGCCATTGTTGAGGACTTTCATGAATGGGGATAGCGAGGGTGGGACTTCATGGGGTCACACTTCGGTTTTAGAGCCAAGATTTTGGACTTCCGCACCGATCGGGGGGTGCCTGGAGAGGGGTTCGGTTGTATACCGACTTTAGAACTGGGTGGGGATACCTATGGAGCCAGATTATTGGTCTTCCGCACTAAAAGGGGAGTGCCTGGAGTGAGGATTCCATTAAGGTATTCACAGTCGTGGATAGACCCAACAGATGGCATTTTAGATTGTTTGAATTGTTAACCTAATGAGGTAAAGGGAACTTCGTTGGAAATGAACTTGTCGAAAATGATTCACTACAAAGGTCTAGAATCACCATGTTCGGTGAAATGTTCACACCTGATTGATTGAAAATGTAAAACATTTTTTTGGGGTGGGGGGGAGAGTGTAGTGAGTCATTTTCTCCCCATTAATTTATGCCCGACAGATGACGTCAGTAATAAATGTAAGGGGGATGTTTTGACTGACTGAGATAACACGAGATTTGTGTCTTGAGTTTCATGAGAGACATCGGAAAGTCAGGTTTTATGTGAAACATGATTGTTCACGTGAACCATGAAGGTTGACTGGCAGGCTTCGTGTGAAATGCGAATTATCACGGGCCAGACACGACTTTCAACGGTGGGGAATTCGTGAGAATGAAGTTATACAGAATATTCGAGACGAACATGACAGAGATCAGAGGGCTATATAATAGCGGAGAAAGGATTGAGAGGGAGTCTCGTTTAGGCCAAGGGAATGTGTACGTGAGAAGATGAAGTCCGGAAGAATGTTGGCGTCTGCATAGCGTGATTTCCCAATGCCTACCTGGCATAAAATAGCGGCTGACGGAAACGGTGGCCAGCTGTGAATGACTGTCGTCTGGATGGATGGAATTACTGTGTTTCGCTAAGTTGTGGGATGAATTCTACGATGTTACAAAGGTATGACTGACTGTTTAGATCATTGAATAAGTAATCGATGAGTGATACTGTTGTGTATGAACATTTACTGACTGCAACATCAGCGAGTGAAAATAAACGGTACGTGTAACTTCTGAACGTCTGCCAGCGTCCATGTTTCTGGTTCTTGTCAGTCGGTGAATGGAAGGATGTGGTGACTCATTCGAGCCAGCAATTAATAATAAAGAAGATCATCGCAAACAAGGACAGTGAAGGAAAATTATAAACTGAAAATAGATAAATTTAAGGTATAGTTATGTGTACATAGAAAGGGAATTTGAAATTTTTGTACATTTAGCAAAGTGGAATAATTCTGTAAACCATTGTATAATTCTACACATTTGGGCATTTACTTTTACCACGTTTTGCTTGTGCGGGGGTCTATGAATGTGAATAGCGATGGTTTTTTTTTTTTTTTTTGTTGTTGCGTAATCGTACCTCAGTTCTAGCGCAAAATATAAAGACATTCAGACTTAGACAAGAGTGACATACAGTCAAGAAATATTCAGTCAAAGGAAATCATTGTTTGCTTAATTAACATGTAAACAAACTGTTTGAATACGTATTGAAATAAAAGAATATATTTGTGAAACGTTTTTTTTTTTGGGGGGGGGGGGAGGGGTGGGAGAGAGAGACAGAGACAGAGAATGTAAAGATACATTTTCAATTTTGCTTGGGAAAATAAGGACGTAGATTACTGACCAAAAATTATGTCAAATTCCTGATCATAAATTATACGTGTAAGGGTGAACGAGAGTCCCTACAGACATAACTAACTCTACGGAAATACGAAGCTGTAAAAGGGGAGACTCATGAATCTGTGGGAAAAAAAAAATAGTTATTAAATATGGAGCAAGTAAGAAAGCTCAGTCTTGTCAGCTGGCGCTTAGAGCATGGATGGGTAAATGTTCCTGTGACTTAGACTTTGTTGCACGCTGCCGACCAAGTTTAGAAACCTGGATGTGTTTTATCGCCTGAAGATAGTTGCACGCGGACGTCTGCTGTGATCTAGCCTTGAGAAGGTATGCAAGCTCTGAGCCACCAAAATGTGTGTATTGCATATAGTGTGGATGGTCTAGCAAATTTAGCCTCTCAGCAACGGTCGATTTAGCTTCGCTTGTGTGTGTGTGTGTGTGTGTGTGTGTGTGTGTGTGTGTGTGTGTGTGTGTGTGTGTGTGTGTGTGTGTGTGTGGACGTCTTTGTTTCGTGAGATCCTTTCTGTTCCCGTATATTGCCTGTTTGATGTTTCTGTACTTGGTTCTTTTAAGATGTGTTCAGTGTAGTGACGTATTCTTTGTTTAATTTTTGTTGTTACCAGCGTTTGCCCAGTCATTTCTCTTATTTCTTCACCCCTTGCATTTATCCTGTTCCGAGTTTACCATTTTCTTTAGTCGTATGTTTTTAAATGCACTTATGTTTCAGCGGTTTTACAACTTTCACTGGCATATATTAAAACTCAAATAACACTAGAACTGAAAATACTCCACTTTGTTTTAAACAAAAAGTATATATTTTAGTTCTGTATTGTTTGCTGGAATGACATTCCTTCCTGGTAGATTTTGAAGCAATTATATGTATATATATAAATGCACACACACACACACACACACACACACACACACACAATGGGTTCGTAGTGCTTCTGTACTCACCAAAATTGATTCTCTGATTGGACTAAATTCCCAATCGAAAACAAAGCTTGTATTTTTACAGGTATACATTATGCGGTCCGGCCATCGGGTGAACGCTGAAAAATCATGCCATACTTCTAATACATAACAAACTAAACAGATTTTCAACAACGCATAACACGAATTGCTTTTTTTTTAATAGCCAAACGGCGTACCTGATTCTCATTTAAGAATAAGAAGAAACTCGACAGGGAAGCATGTACAGCAGGGGTCTACCAATCATCAGTAGACGTAACCTCTCGTCGACAAATGTTTCGGCCCACGAGCTCCTATACATTTTCAGAGAGTGGACCCACCTGAGTTCAGGAAGCTCAGGGTTGGTTTCCCCTGCTGCGGCAATTACCGGAGGTTATTCGGACAGGGACAAGACGAATTGGTGATTTTGCAGAAGGTACTGTGAGATCAGAAGTCGTCGCGGTTGCATAATTAAATCAGTCTGCATACCTGGACGACCGAGCGGCAAGCTTACGATTGGTTTATCGGACACATATTGGTTTTTGTTAGCAGGTGGCAGAGGGACACCGGCAGACAATTTGAACACGATGGACTTTAAGGGATGAGAAATTCTTTTCCGCTAGACACCCGGACCAGCTCACCGAGGCCCGTTCCCTACGTTGTTTCGTTGTATCCAGAGCCAGCTAGAGGCCCTCTCAGCAACCTGGCCCAGCTTTTTAAGTGTCCGTTTGCGTTCATTACCGCGCAATTCTAGTTCTTTAATCACATTGTAGAGTGAAGTGGCAACAAGACCTCTTGCGCCGACTTCGGCGGCGATGACTCTTACTGTGTACGCTTCGTCTCTCCTCAGACCGGCCGCCAAGTCAGAGTACTTCTCGAGCTTGTACACATGGCTTTCGTCGATTCGCGACCCATGATTCAACTCAATCAGGATGAGCTGCCTTTTCTCCGCAGAGTGGAGAACTATGCCAGGTCGCAGACCGGTCTTCCGGATTAATTCAGGGTACCTTTCATGGCCAGGCAGGTCAACCGCCAGTAACCAGTCCCTCGCAGAGTCTAGCATAGATTGAGCGTATGCGACGTTGTTGAGTCTATTTTTTTTTATCTGCCCAGTCTTGAGGAAGCGTATGGGGACGAACGGTAGGACTGGCCCTCGCGTTGGCCCTCATCCTAGCCTGGTCCACAACGGCGGCCAACTCTTTTAGTACCTTGTTGTGGCGCCAGGTATATCTGCCTTGACCTAGGGCTTTTCTGCATGCGGACAGTTCGTGTTCTAGCGTCAGTTTCGCTCTGCACAGCGGGCATGTCGGGTCGTTAGCCGCAGACCACTTCACCATGTTGACACCGGACGATAATACATCGTACGCAAAACGAACCATAAAGCTCAGTCGCAGCGGGGTTATTCGCCGGATGTGAGTACTCTTGGCAATGCGCTCTCCAGGCTGACACAATGGCCCTGATGCGACTTTTGGACTGCTTTCTGGACCCGAACCTCGTTTTCGTTGTCCCTTACTTGCTGTATTACCATGTCTCGGCGCTCTTTGGCTGTGGCTTTGGACCACTAACTAACCTTCCCGTGACCTAGGCCTTGACGGTCGGTTTGAGTGTAACCCATAATTTCCTTCAGTTTTAGTGCATTTTGTGCAGATTCGATCGAATCTAGGACCTTCCAATTCTGACCAGACTTTAGAGCGGACTGGACAGCGATGACATTTGGGTCTGAAGACTCGCGCAAGAGCATGGCGAGTCTTACTTTGCTGACTTTAAACTCTTCGGTTATCGATTTGAACGGGAGTACGAGCTTAGCCTGCTTACAATACAGAGCCACGTCAGTCAGACAAGGCGGTGCACCAATCCACTTTCTTATGGCTGTGTTGATTTTTTTCTCCATCGTCTCAGCTGCAGTCACCTCGTAGACCAACAGCGGCCAGAGGAGCTTTGAAATCAACATGAATTTGAGGCACAAGACCTTGAACTTCCCGATCAGCCTGCTTCGCTCGTGTATTCGCCGGACTTCCGCTCTATCAGATAACTTCGAATCGTAAACGCGACCAGGGCTCTTCACCGGTTCCTCTAAAACCGTGGGGATTCTATTCCTTGCCACCGGAAAACTGGTTGCCGCAACCTTACCTTTTAGGATTGACAGACTCCTCGACTTCTGCGGTTTGAATTGCATACTGCTCCATTGGACCACCGCGTCCAATCTTTTCAGAATCGTACGGGCAAATTTCTCACTGCCCGTGATTAAAGTCGTGTCATCCATAAATGCACGTAGTGGCGGCATCCAGTGATCCCCAATTTGAGGGCCCTGTCCGTAGCCAGCCGCCCCGTCTAACATGATCTGCATGGCTATGACGAACAGTATTGGTGAGATCATACACCCCATAGCTATCCCAACTTGTAGCTCAGTCCACCTCGTTGTAAACGTCGAGGTAGAGAAGCGCAAAGTGAACTTAGAGAAATATTGCTCGATCATTTCGTTGATCTGTGCCGGCACGTGAAACATGCGAAGGGCCTGCCACAGCAGCCTACGAGAAACTGCCCCATAGGCGTTAGCTAGGTCCAACCATATAACGTGCAATTCGGTTCTCTCACGCTTAGCCCTCTCCCAAATCATGGTCGCGTGTTCAAGGCACCCAGGAACGCCCAGGATACCACCCTTTTGAACACTCGTATCGATATACTTGTTCGCCATCAGATACTGTGTGAGCCGGCGAGCCATTACCGAGAAGAATATTTTGCCCTCAACATTCAACAGCGAGATGGGCCTGAATTGGGAAAGACTCTTCGAGTCCTGCTCTTTGGGAATGTAGACCCCGTTGGCCTTTTGCCATTCTGGACATATGTGTTTTCGGCTCTATGCTTGTCTCAACAAGCCGTGAAGCATTCGTAGGACTTTCGGACAACGCTTGTAAAGAACATACGAAACACCATTCGGAGCAGACTTGCCGCTGGCTCTATTCACAATTTCCTCAACCTCAGACCAATGATACTTTCGGCAACTCAGGTTGCTTGAGGCCACTAAGGATCTCTGGATTGTTATCGAGAGGCTCATTCCTCTTTTTGTTAGAGTACATTTTGCGTAAATGTGACTCAAGCTCCTCTTTACTGACAACCAGAGTCCTAGACTTCGGTTGCTCGAATAGACCTCTGGCAAACTGGAACGGGTCCCTAAAGAATTTCTCTCGCTCCCGTTTGGTTCTCCTTCTGTTGTTACAGAAACGCTCATCACGACAGAGGGCACTGTGTCTGTTCTTTAAATGCAACCAGACTTCATGCAGCCCCTCCCGTTCGCTGCCTGTAGCAGCTTTAAACCGTTTTATGAGGGCATTCTTGTCTGCCCGATACTTCAGAATATCTCTCTGTCTCCTGCTTATATTCTGCTTGACGCCCGGCGGCGCCTTTTCCACTGTCCCGAACTCACAGTAACAGTGCTCGTATATTACAACACCAAACTTTGTAAGCTTGTCGCCTAACTTCTTTTTTAGATCATGAATTAGTTTCTCACATATTATACCTTCTAACTTGCACCACGACACCTTATCGCTCGCAGGTGGAAACCTGATCCTGGAACGCACTTCCTCGGGAATCATCAAAAGTGCGCCTTCGCAGTCAACGTCATGGACCTCTCCGGGCGAGTGGGGTACACCCTGCCCGTCCTTCCCTAAAGACTCAGAAACTACCACAGGACTAGTAGTTTTGCAACGGCGTTTATTGCGTGGAGCACCCTCGCATTTCATCCTTTCGGCATGCGTTCTCAGACCATGCAACCCCGTGAAGCTCTTTCCACATGTACAGAGCCAACCCGGACGTTGGGCAAGATTCGGAGTCCGGGAGCTAGCATTGTCGTCGCCGTTTATATCAATTTGATTGGGCCCATCATTCTCCCCCTCTTTCGGTGGACCCTGGGGGCATATTTCTATATTGGTTTTCGAAATCAGAGGTATTATACTGTGTTAGGGGTGATCAACCCGTCCACAGTCCACATCTGGCTCCAGATGTCAATTTATCCTCCCGGCGATACCAGGGCGGCCAGTCTTTCCATAGGTGTCAAAAGGTCTTTCCCGATAGTCACCAGCCTTTCCTAGTTGTCTTGTGCGCTAACCACGTACAATAAAAAGAAACTTCACAGGGGAGCATGTACAGCAGGGGTCTACCAATCCTCAGTAGAAGTAACCTCTCGTCGACAAATGTTTCGGCCCATGAACTCCTATACATTTTCAGAGAATGGGCCCACCTGAGTTCATGTAGCTCAGTATTGGTTTCCCCTACTGCACCAATTACCTTAAGAAATCTTAGCGCTCTGCCATTGGCTGACGTATGAAGGATTTGAAATGCGTTATTCTTAGTCACCACGTGTCCATATTTTGAAAGATGGCGTGCTATTGCAGAGGGGTGAACTTTGCGGCCAGTATTCTTGTTTTAAATATTATTTTGCATGGGTTTTTCCACCCACATTGAAATGTGCTCATGGTTCGATTTGATAATGACATTCTTCATTATTCATCTAATGTCAGTAAAATTATTTTTCCTTGCGCTACCACCTCGACAAGTTCATTCACACATACACAAACACACACCCACACATTCACACAGACATACGACACATGTTGGTATCTTGTCGTGAAGTGGGCGTGTTTTCCAAATCCTACTTACCTCCCAAGCTTTCTCGTTAATACATATTATAGAACAAACTACAAATTATGACATATGGAAAACGTGAAATTGTCAATAATCGACCAATCCATGGTAGGGTTAAAGAATTAGAACGGCATTCTTACCGACCCCTTAACTTAGCAGCACATTTGGTAAAGAAAACGTCGAGAAAAAAGGAAACCATAAGAGAGATTTAGAAGATTACAAGTGAACTGCCAGGCTAAGACTGCTAACCATGTAGAGCAAAAATCCTTTTGGTAGGGTGAGCCACACTTGCGCGGAGAGGCCCAAGATATACGAACTGCGTTCCACGAAACAAGTTTCCACCCGCATGCGATATGGAGGGTGCATTATGTTCCAAAATTAATGGTTAATTTAGGAGAAGTCTTTAGGTGACAAGCTAACACAGTTTGGTGACGTAGTATACAAAAATATCACTGTGCCCGCGAGTTTGAGACAGTGGAGAAGACGCAGCCGGGCGTCACGCAGAAAAAAAAAGCCGGAGGCAGAGAGACATCGAGAAGTGCCGAGCAGACAGGAATGCACTCAGAAAACGGTTCAAAGCCGCTCAGGCAGAAAACGGGAGGGGCTGTACGAGGTCTCGCTACACCTAAAGAGTCGATACAGTTCCCACTGTCACGCCTAGAGTTTCCGTAAGAACACGCGGGTAGCCAGAAGGGGGCGAAAAATGTTCTTTAGGGACCCGTTTCAGTTTTCCCGAGGCCTGTTCGAGCAATTAAAGTTTGGACTCTGGTGGTTGGTAACACACCTCGCCAACACCTATGAAGCTATGGTAGCAGGCCCTTCACACAGATCACCGAAATGATCGAGCAATATTTCTTAAAGTTTACCATACGCTTTTCAACCCCGACGTTTACTACGAGATAGACGCAGCTATGGACAAGGCCTTTAGATTGGGGACCAATGGATGCAGCCACATTTATGGATGATACAACAATCATAACGAAAAGTAATGATGATGACCACCCGATTCTGAAAAGGTTCGACTTTTGTTCTCTAATGGTGTCAAATGCAGTTCTGTCACATAACAGCATCAACTTCCATATCGCAATAGACTGGCACACAGTCTGGACAACCCCTCAATAATTGGTATATTTATATCTCGGATAGTCCGTCCGTAGATATATAGTTCCTTTGTTTTGGGGAGTCGAGATTTGAAAAAAGTATATAAATCGCTCCTAAATTAATCCTGCTTGACGAATAGTGTCAGTATGTATAATACGACACGTTTTTTATGCCTATAGCTACTTAGTAGTTTGATTGCTTCACTACAAGCTTGAGCCATATTATTGCCCAACTGTAGTAGTTAGGGACTAATATTCTGGTCAAAAGTCACGACCAAAGAGCGAAGAGACATTGTGATACAACAAATAAAGGACAACGAAAACGAGACTTGAGTCCAAAAAGCCCCCCAGCAAGGCCAGGGGATCGGCCTCTAGAGCGCCTTGCCACAAGTACTCACATGGGGTGAGATTAGTCGTAAGATTTGCGTACGATGTGTTACCGTCTGGCGTCAATATGGCGAAATAGCATGCGACTGTGCAGAGCTGAGCAGACGCTTGAGCACGTATTGTCTAGATGTCGAAAATTTTTATGAGATCCGTGGTATTGTCGCTGTAGCTTCGGAGTAAGTGCTCAGTTGTCGCTCTAGATGGCTAGCTATTTTGCTTAGAAAAACCTAGCAGTTTGTGATAAAATCTGGTGCAATCACATTGACCCTTGGAGTTTAAAAACTCTAACTTATTATTTACCACACGTGTCCAGTAACAAGATAAGGCAACCCAGCATCTCTGTAACCCATATGTTATCTAGACTCTACTTACAGACAACCTCCATTTGGCGCGAGTCTTTCACTGTGTGTAGTTGGCACATGAACTGGGAACCCTGGGAATGTGTTTGGAAACATTAACGCATCATTCATGCCCTCTCTTTTAAGAATCTTAATAATTTCATATAACAAGCCAATACAACATAATTGTAATAATAACTACAATAATAATAAATAACCTAGAAGATATTAAATTTTATATTATATCTGACTTTGAGTCCCAAGGAACTCATTACGCGCTAATCAATTACTACTCAGGGGCCAGTTAACGAGTGACACGTATTAGTTTTTAAATTACCACTGGCCAGTATAAAAACGATAGCCGGCAGTTTTAAATAGCATTTCCCAAATTTTTTTTTTTTTTAATTATTCGAGGTCACATATGTGGACCATTAAGCATGTCTGAGAACGTGGTTTTACCGAGTTACCAGGTGTCTGTGTAAAAAACATTATGGCCTCCGAGCAAATTTCGTTATGCATGTCAACAAGATTTATTAATTTAGAAGCCTCTAATTTAAATAACTTTTGTCAGATTTATCCAAAGTTAGACGAATTACGTTACGAAGTGGACTTCTTTCTCTGACAGAGTCAAACTTAGGCAAAGCCTTCAACGATAACAAAGTCAGCTAGTACAGAGAAAATAAATATAAGTGTGAAAAACAGCAATATTCTTCAGTGTTAGTTAGGTCTAGTGCAATTCCGTTATTATTCCCTTTTATTTGTGTGTACGTATGCAGTATCTATTATCAAATGCAGGCATCTGCAAAGCGATTTTTGAGAATCTGCAAATCGTTTCAGTATGTGCAGTAATGGCTGCATCATCTGCAAACAGAAAGTCTCTGAGGCATCTTGTCTGCACCTTAGTCCTTGCACAAAGATCTGACAGACTGTAAAGGTTTACATCTGACTTCGTGCGGAGATATAAACTTTAGTTCAGACCTATCTCGCTGTTGAATGTTGAGGGCAAGGTATTCTTCTCGGTTATGGCTCGCAGGCTCACACAGTATTTGATGTCGAACAAATACATCAATACGACTGTTCAGAGGGTGGAATTCCAGGCGTTTCCGGGTCCCTTGAACACCATGATGTTGAAAAGTATTCAGAGAGCTAAACAGAGAGAACCCAAAATGCACGTGATATGGTGGGACCTTGCCGATGCCAATGAGACAGTACCCCATAAGCAATTGTGGCAGGACCTTCGCGTGTTTCCCGTTCCGACACAGATCACCGAAATAATCGAGCAATATTTCTCAAAGTTCGTCATACGCTTCTCTACCCCAACGTTTACTACGAGAAGTACTGAGCTCCAGGTTGGGATAGCAATGGTATGTACGATCTCGCAGATACCGCTCTTTATTGCCATACAGGTCATGTTAGACATGACTGCCAGCTACGATCAGGGCCTTCAGATTGCCGAACACTGGATGACACAACTATGATAACGGGCAGTGAGGAAGATGCGCGCACCATTCTGAAAAGGTTGGACAGTGTTGTCAAATGGTGTGGAATGCAGTTCAAACCGCAGAAATCGAGGAGTGTGTCAATCCTAAAAAGTGAGGTGGCGGCAGTCAGTTTTACGGTGGCAAAGAATCGGATCCTTGCCGTTCTGGAGGAGCCGGTAAAGAGTCTCAGCCACGTCTACGATTCGAGGTTATCTGATAGAGAGTAAGTCAGGCTAAAGACCTGTTAACGATCGAGCGACGCAAGTTTATCGAACAGTTTAAGGTTTGGTGTCTCCAATTTATGTTGATTCTAATGCTCTTCTGACCGCTGCTCGTGTACGAAGTTAGCATGACGGCAGTGGAAACAATATAGAGACAAATCAACCTAGCTATCGGGAATGGCTTTGGGCACCGCCTTGTCTTACCGATTAGGTTCTGTGTTGTAAGCAGGCAAAGCTGGTAGTTCCGTTCAAATCAATAACCGAACAGTTTAAAGTCGGCAAGGTAAGACCCGCGATGATTCTGCGCGAGTTTTTAGACTCCACGATGGCAGCTGTTCAGCTAGCTCTAAAGACAGGTAAAAATTGGAGAGTCCTAGATGCGATAGAATCTGCCTAAGATGCATAAAAATTGAAGAAAGTCATAGGTTCCACACAAACCGACCGTTGAGGCCTAGGGCACCAAAAAGTCAGTTAGTGCCACGGCCAAAAAGCGCAGAGACGTGATAATATAGCAGATAAGGGGCACTGAAGACTAAACTCAGGTCCAAAAGCCGCACAACAGTCGCAGCATGGCCAGTGGATCGGCTTCGAGTGCACCTTGCCACGAGCACTCACATTGGGTGAGATCTGGCGTAAACATGAATAAATGGCATGCGACTACTGATCAGACATGCCCACTGTGCAGAGCTAGGCAGACGCTCGAGCACGTATTGTTTGCGTGCAGAAAAGCCCTAAGCCAAGGAAAATACACTTGAGAGTTAGCGAACATTGTGGACCAAGCCAGATCCCTAGAAATGCAAGCTCTGCATTTCTATAGCTTGCGAAAGCTTCCGGGACACTCAAGCAGGCCCATCTGTCTCAAATATTTAAATTGGCGAAGACACTCTTATAACAATCTATGAAGTTGAACTTGAGAGAAGACTACATAAAAAAGAGCATGTGAGGACAGGAAAGAAAGACGATAAGAAACAAAATTTCCATTATATCATGTATATTTCAAGGCGAGGATTAAACTCAGGATCTTGCTGACAACTTTCAAAATTGGAATAGAGGAAAGTAAAGAGATAAACACTTCGATTGCTTGGCCGCATGCCTAATTCGGAACCAGAACATCACCTGATCCGTGATTCAGCTAATCGTGTTGTATAGCGAATGATGACAGCCTATTTTTTTTCAGCACGGCAGGTGATGATGATATTTCCACGAAGGGTAAGGGAAAAAAAGGAAGAAGGGAGGGGGGGGGGGCAATTTTTACTGAAAAGGTCAAAGTGGGCCTACAAAACAGGTTTACAGGTTTGGGAAACACTGCCCTAAACCAACCACCAATTAGTAGTAGATACGAAAGAGTCGCTCACGTTGCATCCACTTAGATGACGTAAGCAGTCTCCGCCCAGGGAGGTTCAAGGGTAAAAGGGGGTGGGGGGAGTGTATGGCACCGATAAATTATAGTTTATAAGTAATATTTATAATTTAATCATAAAAATTAAAATTTATATATAATTATTAAAAATTAAATACATATGCGTACCTTATATATTACCTTTGGTTACGATAACAATTGCATGTGAGACTTGCAGTTTTAAGCAAGATAAGAAATGTAGTAGTAACTTACTATATAGTCAGTAGTCACAGGATTTATCAACAAGTAAAATCGGTATTGCCAAACACCAGAGGTCATCACTTTCTTACTGCTGCACCCACAAGCTCCGTGTACCTGCGTGGGTGGAGGTTTATTGCAATACCGCCAATCGGTGATTCTGCAGCCCTGTGCGACAAAATCATGAGTTCTCTCACTAATCGGCACACACGTTTATATGAGAGTTCATTGTCACATTCCTGTTTTTACATCATGTTGCTGAAAATAAAATGATAGCTGTATGCTTTTTTTTTTAATGTGTCCTTTGCATTTTCTAGACTAAAATTTCAATATGTGGCTATAAAGAGCGCAACAGTGGATTGGGAAGAACAGTACCGGACGGAAACTAGTATGAAAACAGGCATAGGACATGAAAGACGCCATGTGCAGGGAAGTGCATAAGGTGATAAAGATGGTGCATGGCTGAGTTTATTTAGGGCGGACTCTGATGGGAGCAACGTTCTCTATAATACCTGCCACATAATAATGATTTTACATCTGTGGAAGTTTCAGCGGTAGTGGCTAGACACTTCACACATTAAACAATTGCTTTAAAATCATGTAAAGAAACTTCCTCTATTGACCTAGATTGTAAAGTGAATTAAGATTTATTAGTTTCTCTATGAGAATCTAATCTACTTCTACCCGACTCTGATGTACCATCTACTTTTTTTTTTTTTTTTTTTGGACTAAAAATAACAAAAAGACAATCAGGAGTGAAACAAACATAATTTTTCTTTTCTTTTTGTGCCCTTAATCTCCCAGTGGAGCACGTAGCCCTCGATCAACTTGCCATTGCCTGCAGCTTTCACTACATGTCCTCCCAATCTGTTTAACTTTACTCTCTAGCTCCATGTGTTTCTTGGTATGTCTTTTTCTCTGCTCTTGTCCGTTTAAGTAAAAAGACATTTAAATTATATTCATTCACTTATGTTTCCTCCATTATCCTGTTGTTCCATTTTATGTCACATAGGGCTCACAGTCTGTTCCTCCATTTAGTTCTTTATAAGGAGTTTGATATCATGGATGGAAGTCAGTCCAGCCGCTTTGGCCTCTCTCATCAATGTTAGTATTGGGGTTTTACTCTGGCGTTTTCGGTTATATTGTTCTCAGCTTTTCTCAACCTATGTCCTATCTAAAGCAGCCTTGAGTTGAGTTGAGTTGGGTCAAGAATTGACATCACAGCACTCAGGGCATTCACATACGCGCCGCGTCCCCATTCTCAAAGCCAGCGCAGAGTTCTTATACTGATAGTGCCAGTCGCAGTCTGGCTTTATGTCCGTCTTGCCTTTCCTCTGAGCGTAGTGTGCCGGCCGAACCCTTTGTTCACAACCAGGTGCATCATTCTCTCTAGCCCATAATAATCTAGCTTTTCTTCTGACTAGTTACTTGTTTCCAAAGGGCTCTGACCACATCTGCCTTGTCATGTATCAATTCACCACCCAGTGGTGCAGATCCAGCCAGATCCAGCCAGTGTCTGCCTGTTTATTCTCCTACACGCTGGCATGGACTGCAGAAAAGAACCAAAGTATACTCATTACCCCCGACCTTGCAAGCAAAGCTTGCCATTCTGCTCGAAGCAATCCTGTCTTCACTTTTTTTCAGCATGCTTTCAGAGTCCGTTACAATTATGACATGTATGTTTATCTTGTTTTCTATCCACCGGTAAGCTGCAGTGGCCGCCTCCACTTTCATACTAGATGTTGTGGTATCATAATACTCTTCACTTCTAGATGCGCTGAAAATTGTTTGATTCTCTTCCAAAGCTCAACACTAGTGATTGTATCATGTAAGATTAGTAACTCCCTTTGGTGAGCGAGACTATATTTACACACTAATTTCCTTGATTTGCTGTAAAATAAACCCGAGGTTTCCTTTTACCGCTGTTGCCCACCTCTGCCGCTAGGTCAACTAAAATATTTAGCTTCTCAATGTCCTTATCGGCTTCCGTTTTTTTTTTTTTTTCAAGAACTCTAAATTTGGCAACTCTAGTTTTGCTATTGTTTAGGTCTGTCATTTTGCTTTCTTTTTCTTTATGTTTAAAAGGACTGCCTATATTTCTGTTCCATTTACCCAAACTACTTTCCTAGCTTTTACGGTGCTTATTTTCTCACATGACCGTTACAGCAATTTGTATCTATTTACGCTGTAACTGTATATTGTTCTTTGACTGTTGTATTCCTGAAATATCCTTTAGAGATCTACGTTTTCTTAAAGAAAAAGAGAGAGAAAGAGAGAGAGAGAAGAGAGAGAGAGAGAGAGAGAGAGAGAGAGAGAGAGACCAATGGATTATGGCAATAATTAAACAGTCAAACTGCAGTAAAACTGTGGAAATATGAACAATTGAAAAACAAAACCAAGTAAGGATCAGCTGTATAGTTAACCGACGCGGCATCATACAAGGTAATGTCACGTTGTAGTGTTAAGACCTTGGTTAAAGAGCGTAGAGACATGATGCCACAACAGATCAGGTACACTGAGAACGAGCTGCGGTTCCAGAGAGCATCCCAGCAGTCGCAGTAAGGCCAGTGGCTCGGCCTCGAGAGCGCCTTTAACGAAAACTCCCCTAGGGTTAAGTTTAGCGAAAAACTGCACTGCGACTGAGCTTTGTCACTAGATCTGCGTACAATATGTTACCCGCAGGCGCTAACTTGGTCAAATGGCGCGCGCTAACGACCTGACATGACCTTTGTGGGGAGCGAAGCAGAGGCTGGATCACTTATTGTCCGCGTGCAGGGAAGCCTTAAGACAGAGAGGTGGTACACATGGCGCCGCAATACGATCTTGAAAGAGTTGGCCGAGATTGTTGACAAAGCCCCCCCGCCCAAGCAATGCTCTTCCTAACGGCTGGGTAGATCTTGTGTATTCAACAAACTCGCATATGCTCCATCCATACTCCACTGTGCACGCAATTATTAACAATTTGCGACTGACCTGTCTCGCTTTGGGAAGTACGCAGAACTAAACCGAAAGACTGGACTAAGGCCAGACATCGTTTGCACTCGGCTGCAGAGCATCAGCTCATCCTGATAGAGATGAGCGTGCCGTAACAACTTTACAAGCTGGAAACGTGCAGCAATCTGGTAGCTAGTCTGAGGAGTCTGACAGGTGCGGAGTAAAACTCTTCGCCGTCGAGGTGGGTGCGGAAAGGCTAATATCCACCCACACAGATTATTACGATGTAATAAAGCAGCTGGGATCGCGTAAACAGGCAATGAAGCAACTGAGCAAAACTGCAGAGGGATCTTCGAGCTTGTTGTGGACGCAATAGAAAGACCCATTGACCTTGGCAGACTTGTCCTAGCCCCTAGTGTAGAAAAAACAACTTCAATGTCCCTCAAGCCAAAAGTTGTCTTTGTGTGGTGGCCGGTGTTATAAATAGTAGGACCTCTGCATCTTCCCAGCATGTCGTAAGAGGGGACTAAGAGGTTTTGACGTTGGGCCAGCAACACCACACTGTTAAAAAAAGATAACCGCTACAGAAACAGAGACAAACATAAATAGAAATAATACTCATTGCAGTGACTCTCTGTTCTCTTCTATCTGGCTCTAGTCATTGCATGATTCCTATTTCACACACCGACATCACACGACGAGCAGAAAAATGGACCATGGAAAACAACACGAGACTGTTTCTGCATTTTATTCTTTCACTCGCGGCTTCCTCAGCCGGCACATGAAATAGACTATTGTCCAGGCATGCATTGTAACTCAAATATCAAATACACCACTTTACCTTTTAGCCGAAATTTCAATCGTCCTACCACAAGCACAATGAACGAAAAAAAAAAACAGCTGTCCTGACGATAATCAATGCAGCCGGCAGACACCTTGTCGTCTGCCCGAACCGTTGGCTAAGTTGAGCATTGAAACTACCTTCACTCTCAAACACATGTTGGATCCACACAGCTTCCACCGTTGTTCGCGCACTCCGTTCCTTGGCCCAAACGAGACTGCCCACCAGCCCTTTCTAACGCATTATATAACCTTCTAATGCCCTCCTCGTGATCTTGAATCCTCCGTGTTCTCTGATTTACACGAATCCCATTTGGCCAGCAGGTTCTATATGATTCCCGTGAATAATTATAATTCACATAAAGTTCGTCTTTCAGCACTTCTCTACAATTCACGTGTTGTCCCATTTACACTCAAAATATTCCACTCACATTTATAAGCTGACTTCATTCCGTCTGGGACATAATTTATCTAGGAGAAAATGGTTCACTACACTCATGGAGATCTGGCTGTCATAGGGGAGGTTACAAATAGCTGTCAATAATTAAGGACTGGGAAAAGCCTGCGGGGGAATATCGGCCCCAACGACCTGCCTCTTGGCGACCAGGAACATGATTCAGCTTGCCTTCTTTAACGTCTGAACGATGTATAAAGCAGGCAGATCCTCAGAAATGGCAAACAATAGGATATATTTTTTTTTTGGGGGGGGGGGGGGGGGCGGGAATAAGTGAAAGCAGATAGCCTGGTCAAAAAAGATTGACACAAAATAGTGGAAAGACCATACTCTACGTGACAGGAAATGATGGTGACCATACACATGGAGTAGCACTAATGCTAACTAAGGAAGTAATCAAATATCTTATTGGATGGAGGGCGATGAATGGAAGGCTAATAACTGCACGCTTTGAGTTCAGATTCACGAAACTTAGAGGCATGCAATGCTATGTGACAAGAAACGATGGAAGTTATGAGAAGAATGATGAGATTTTGACCCAGTTAGATGAACTGATAAAGGAAGTCCCCAAAATGACCTGCTTTTTGTTATAGGGAACTTGAACGCGAAAGTGGCAAGGGATAACATAGGACTTCAATCCTCAATTTAGAACCATGGGCTAGGAGAGGGGAAAAATAATGGAGAATGGCTGACCAACGTCTGTTTTCACCATAGTCTAGTCATTGGATGGATTGATTTGATTCAAGCACTCCCATAAGCGCTCAGTCTCCATCTCCAGCAGCCAGCGAAGAGCTCCGATACTAATGGTGCCAAAAGCATTCTAATTAAAAGTGCGTCTTGCCTTTCCCCTTAGCCTCGAGCATATGCCGGAACCTCTCGTCACTCTCCGCTGCATCAATCTCACTAGACTGTGGTGATCCATCTGCTCCTCCGAACTGTA